ATCGGTGACGATGACAATGCTTGTAAGACTGTAACTCTGATGCAACACGGCTGAAAAAGAGGTTGTACACGTTAATTCACACGCTCTTTGCTGACGTCAGCTTGGTGCGCCCCTATTCGCATTCATTTGCGACCTTGGCAATGACCATATGTTGATTGCATCCAGGACTCCAATGTGATACGCCTTTACATGTCAATTCGGACTGACTAAAACTGAAACGAGCGGTTTCGATTCTATAATTTACTTTGTCGATACTATACCTTATTTCACATTCTACTCGCCCGTTATTACTTCACGTCTCGGTCTCGTTTCACATCTTCCTGCAGATACCAATATGGGCGCTGAAAATGAACCTGCAAACATTTGCATCAAAATACTGTGTTGTTAGTTCTCGTCCAACTTACATTCGAGTTTCTATAACCTCCATTTTTTAAATACCTATTCTACAACTACTTATCAATATGTTAACTTCAAATGCATGTCTTGATTGCAAGATTCGCGGCACGTTGCCTCCTTTGTTTGTTGGCATTCGGAGTCTAATACTATTTCTTGCATTGCGATTCGGTTTATAACTTTTTCTGCTACTGATCAGACCATGGTAAGCATAAAGTCTGAAACATGAAGTTTTCATAAATCGACTTCTCTGGTCAAAAGTGCTAGCCTGTTCACAGGAGTGGCTTTGTAGCCACTTGATGTTAGCTGCTTCTCACTCAAAGGTTGAGTTTTAAAACACCTGCCACTGGTTTTTATGAATTCTACGTATTCCAACGCTAAAGTGAATCAGGACTATCTTCTTGAATTATCTTTTCCAGGCATTTACGTGATGCACTTTTGATTGAAGTTTAACTCATCTAAGATGAAGATAGTTGCCTGACTTCAATATATTCACTCAAACAATTGTGTTTGTGGATTTACTATGCTACGCCTAAATGTCGGCGGTATGCTTCGCAGAACCGTCCGTTCCTGTTTCGTCTAGGTTACCAGGATTTTGTCAGAAGGTGAAACTGATAGAATCAGTGGTGCTGGCGAAGGCAGTCCAGTGGTCGAATACTGGCTCGTGACGGACTATTTGGCCTTCGGTTCTGTGTATGATTACATTCACGACAGGGAGCTCTCCTGGGGTCAGATGCTGTGGATCGCGATGGGAATGGCTCGTGGACTCAGTTACTTACACACAGAACTTCCCCGCACCGTCTCCCAGTACCCCAAACCGAGCATAGCCCATAGAGACTTTAAGTCTCGCAACGTTCTTCTCAAACCTGATCTCACCCCATGCATCAGCGATCTAGGGCTGGCTACTCGCCTGGAAACTGGTCGTGGCTTCGGCGATGCCCATTTGCAGGTGATCATCTTGTCCTTTGATTATTTGTGTCCGAGAGGCATAATAGCTTCCTTAACTTTTGTAGCTACATTACTCGACTCGCTAACCACAAAAAATGAATGGGTATTCACAGCATTAAATTCATTGGAATTACTTATATCTCGTTTATTCGGTGTTTTCTGTTTTTGTGATCTAATTTATTTTGTCACTTTTAAGCATAGCTCATGTAACATCAGGTTTCCGACTTGTGGCATTAACAAACAACTATTGAAGTTTGGGCCAGCTCATCTAACTGATCTAGGGGACAATGCCAGATTATTATGCTTTTTTATAGGCGTAATTTGAATTTAACATATGCTCTCAGCCCTTAAGCCAAGTCTCCTAGTGATCTAGGTCTTTGATTCTATCATTCCGAAGGTGCTTTGTGTGAACCGTATTCATTGAACAGTTGGTCAATATTCCCACTCCGTATTGCATTGTCTCCCAATAATTAGTTTGAAAAATGTCTTTTTATGTTTGCTACACGTAGTGATTGGGAATCGGACTTTTGCAGTCGCTAATCTTTAACGACTCATCACAGCTGCAACGTGTAGATGGCTTGAGTTTGAGCTGAACATCTTGGTTATTATCAGCCCATCTTCCTCTTACTCAAGATGTGTGAGTGACCTTACTGACTGAGTTGTGCGTCGCCATTACTGAGTGTATCGTAAATTCCATGGCTGGACAACGGCTAGTCAACTTTAGTTGGTATAATCAATCACTTGCAGTGCATTTCATCAGGCGTTTGGTTCTGGCAAAACGGTTCAAGCTTTTACATATTCCATGGTCTCGTTTATGTAAATTAAAGTAACTTACTTTGCGACAACTTTTTGGGCATCTAACCAGCTATGGTCACTTGGAACTTCGATACTTTGTTTTTTTGTTTTTTTCTATATTTTTGACTTGATATTCAAAGGTCCTTGATTTATTGCATGATACTGCTAGGCGATGGTATTGCTCCACTTCAAACCCGATTATCATTTTATATCCAATCCTGTTGTTTGCCCTCAATTCAAAGGCAAAATCATAGGAATCTGATTTGCTCACCATAATTCAAATAATTGTCAAATTTGGGGTCACTTTTGCTCCCTTTTAAACCATTTTAAATCTCAGTTCGTTTCCGTCGACATGGTCGTTCATCCTCCAGCAACATAAAGCCTTTAGTACATTTGGGCGATGCTACGTTGCAGTATTGCTGTTTTACCATTTTTCCATATTAGCATTTTACCAACCTGATACGTCGATAACCTCACTCTATAACCAGCACTATATGGTCACGTGCTATTTTTTTGTCTTCTGTGAACAAATGTAAGATACTACTGTGTAAACAAAAGGAACGCGGAATTGGCCCCTTAGAAAGGCGAGAACTGCACTAAAGCTAGCATTTACACATTGTGGCTTAGAACTTGTTATTTAAACGGTCGTACCACGCACGTAATAAATTTTGTTACATAATGCTTCGGTGTTGACAAAGCGTTGAAATGGATTAAGCATCGCCTAGTTGGTAATTGTTTTTTACCCGAAGGTTGGCACAGCGCGATACATGGCTCCGGAGGTTTTGGATGGAGCCATACAGTTCACAAGGGATGCATTTCTTCGAATCGACGTTTATGCACTAGGTTTGGTAATTTGGGAGTTGATGACTCGAGCCCACGGCCCTAGCGACATCCCACCCGACGAGAACGCCCCACCTCGTTTGCCGCCCTACATGGCACCCTTTGAGGCCGAGGTGGGGCCTATCCCCACCATGGACAAACTACAGCACTATGTTGCGAAACTCAAGAATCGTCCCCGGGCCCGCCCGTGGTGGGAAAAAGATCAGGTGAGTGAGTGCTACTAGTAGCACTGGTTATATTCAGATAGTGCGTTCAATTCTTCCTCTTCAGGCCTTTGAGCGGCTCGACCAAGTCATCCATACTCTGTGGTGTAAATTAACTGCGCCGTTGTTTTAGGTGTGGGATTCTTCCTTGCGATGCACAATCTCTGCATTAGCTAAATTATCGAAATTTTGTCACTGGATTCGGTGCTCACATGAGTTCAGTGTTAGTGTCGCGAAGTATTGTTTTCGCATGTTTATCATGATTTCAAAGATGATTGACTGTTGGCATAATGATTTTGTCTGTTATCCCTCTATATAATGTCGGAAACTCAATTCTTGAAAGAGAACTAGGACACCTGTTGGTTCTTGAGGTTTCGCGTTTAAAACGCAAAAGCAGTGCTTTCACTTTTTATCTCAGCACGTTGGTGAGCTAATTGTCTCCATCCCCTCGTAATATCAATGCCTACTAGGGTGATTGGCTACATTCTCCTTTTTTGTTTTTCAGCGTCCAATTTTTTAAATGCATATGCCATTATGATCCAGATCTTGCTGCATTGATTGGCTTTTTAATCTTCACCACTCGAACGAATCGATGCGAACATGTTAGCTGCATCACCAATGCACTGTAGATTCATCAACTGTGGGGTTTCCTAACAGACAGTTGTCCTCCATCAAGAGTCTAGTGCACTACTATCCGCGCACCGTGTAGCATCGTGCATGTGTGCAAAAGTGCTTGCTCTATCTCACCGCTGATGAATATGCTGAGGACATTAATACGCTCTTCCGCAGGAGTGAAGCGTGTTTATGTGTAGGCATGCGAGCCCAGTTGTTGGACCAAGAGAATCAGTTAACATAACAACCAGCTTTGTCTGGGTCGGTATGTGTGTGTCTGCAATAGACGTTCACTTTTGCTTCTCCTTTTACCCTTTTCTACGAGCTTTCATATTGCAGAGTCCTAGTGTTTTGAGCTTAAATGAAACACTGTTATTTGATGATGCTTCACTTTGTGAGCCTTCATATAGTCTATTTCCAGATCTTCCTTGTAGGCTGACCTTTTGTACACGAATCCCATTTTAAGCCTTAGGTTACCGCAAGGGTCGACAAGGCCATCAACAAGCTCTAATAACAACAGTTTATCATAAGGCGTGTTGGCTTTTAGAATCAAGAAAACT